TAATTTCTTTTGCTTTGGGTAAACTTAAAGACTTTTGATGATTGTGGAATCTACAATAAGAGATTGGTCAGTGTGGTGGTTTCAGTGAGATACTCTTTACCCCCATAGTCTCTGGCATCTGAATGCTTGGTCTCCTGTTAATGTGCTGTTTTAGGAGGATTAAGAGGTATGGAGGAAGTATGTCACTAGCGGTGGGATTTAGGAGCTTCAAGACTTGGATCATTTCCAGTTCTCTCTCTATTTCCTACTTGTGGTTCCTGCTGTGAGCTCTTAGCTTGCATACCTTTCATGTCATGGTGGTCTTTAACCCTCTGGAACTGTAAACCAATGCGAAATCTTTCTTCTGTAAGTTGCCTGGGTTATGATGTTTTATTACAGAAATAGAAATATAACTAATAGATTTAGGTTTTTTTTAAATAAATGGTTAAATCATTTTCATTTTTAGCAATCAATGAATGAGACTTATTGCTTCTCAGTATTTTCATAGGCATTTGGTGTCTTTATTCTACATTCCAAAGTTTGAACATCCTGATACTTGTGCAGTATTGTTAGAATACAGCTTTGCCAGAAAAAAAAATACCATTAAGTGGCTTTCCATGTGCTTTTCTTCTGTCTGTATCTTCTTTGATGAAGTGGTTGTTTGTGTCTTTTCCTCATTTTACAGTTATTTTCTTTATTATCACTGAGTTTTAAAAATAATTGGTACATTCTAAATTATAATCCTTTATCTGACTGGTGATTTACAAATAAACTTTTCTTACATGTGGCTGGCTTTCTAAATCTCTTGACCTTGTGTTAAGTTGGTAATGACTCTAAAACTGCTGGGTGAGGTAAAACAGTGGTGCTCAAGAATGATTTTAAGCAGAATGAACCATAATTTGAACTTTTAAAAAGAAATAAACTATGAAAAATATCTAGCTATATCTTAGAATTCATCCATCTCCTAAAAGAGAATCTGCTAATTTTTTTAGATGAATTAATATAAGCTGATCAGTTGCATTCTGACTCATATGAAGCTTACTGCCATTCCCAGCGTGGTAAGGTTATAGAGGCACTCATCCACTTAGATGGCTTAGA